ATTTTTATATTTCAATATCACAATAATCTTCCAATTTAGAACTACAAGTTAAAAAAAAGAGCTAACATAAATAAAATACACTTCAGCTAATTACTTAAAAAAATAATTTATTTTCCCAAACCACACGGAGCCGCACTAAAAGGACTAAAGAGCCGCAGGTTGCCGACCCATGGGTTAGACGTTAACCTGATCTCAGAGGTGTACTTAGTAATATTGGATGGTTTATTATTAATCGCCAGAGTTGCCTTAATGACTGGAATACCAAACTGTGATAATGTAATTCTCTCTGAGACATGATGTTTCATTTGAAAGCAACGTGTGAATATTGTTGTGTATTAAAAATATTCTGAGCTGGCACAGCAAGCAGAGCTTCTGATGGTCTTTTCTGAGCCGTTATCTGCACTGCGTGGATATAACACTTCAGGGTTTTGTTATCGTCATGACTTCGGCCAGAATCAGTTCATCCATCTGTTTGTGGTGACGGTAACCACATTGAGTGAAGACGGGCGGCTTTTTACATCCTTGATCTAATTTTCCCATTTTGTTATAACAGGAAGTTAACAAAGCAGCATTTATCTTCATCCAACAGAAAACATACAGACACATCGACAATTCTGAGGACAAAACTGAAACTTGCGTGTAGTAATACCACTTCTAAGATATTGCTTCTGTTTCCTCCTGATATATTTGAAAAGACTGTGCATCAGTAAGACAGATTCTACTGGTGATACAGTTAAAGATATGATGCTCTGTCTTCATGGATATTTTAGAGTTTATTAGGTTGAGTTTATGGCAAATCCATTGGATAGAAAGATGACATTTTGTGCTATAAACTGTAGTCATTGTAAACTTGTGTTTGTATACTGATGCTCTGCTTTCATTTCTGTGCAGGACTTATGGCCGTGCACCAAAAATGATCCTCCTTGAAGCTAATTTTGTCCAGTTTAAAGAGGAGTTGCTCCCAAAGGAGGGCAACAAGGCTCTTCTCACCTTCCCCTTCCTCCACATCTACTGGACTGACTGCTGTGTGAGTACAAAGCACACACAGATACACAATCTCATTACACTCTGCTTGTCAGATCAGGTTGAGCATGTATTCTCTAGCCTGTCTTTGGGGGTCCTTAGGTTGATTCAAAGCTCTGTAAACTCGCCTTTATCAAGTAGCTGACAGAGAGATAAAGACTTATGTTGTGGGTTGCTGCTGTTCAAGCGAAATTTGGAAAGGTGTTGGCACATTTTGTACAGGAAGTGAGAGCAGTCGAGTCGTAATAAAGCAGAGTTTGTTTAAAGATGGATGTGACTGCCTGGATGAGTGTTGTGTTTATACTTTTGGGTGATGGCAC